AGAAGATTCAAATTACCAAAACCAGGAAGGAAAGAGAAGATGTTACTACTGATTTATTGAAATTTAAAAGGATTAAAAAGGATTTTAACTTGTATGCCAATAAATTAGATATTACACATGAGATGAACAAATTCCTATAAAGACACAAACCACCAAAACTGACTCAAAAAGAAATAGAAAATTTTAGTAGATCTAAAACAAGGTAATGAATTAGTAATCAAAAACTTCCCACAAAGAAAAGCCCATAACCAGCTGGCTTCACTGACAAATTTTACCAAATATTTAAAGAATTAACAATCATTCACAAACTCTTCCAAAAAATTGGAGAGGAGTGAACATTTCCCAACTCATTCTATGAAAGTGGTAGTACCCTGAAACCAAAATTAGACAAAGACATCACAAGAAAAAAAAATTACATACCAATATCTCTTATGAACATAGATGGGAAATTTCTCAAAATATTAGAGAACCAAATTAAGCAACTATAAAAAGGATTTTCCATCATAACCAAGTAGGATTTATGCTAGAAATTTAAATTTGGTTCAACATAAAAAATCAATAAATGTAATACATTATATCTATAGAATAAAGGACAAAACCTACATGATAATCTCAATAGGCACAGAGAAAAGCATTTGACAAAAATTCAACACCATTTTCATGATAAAAACACTCAACAAACTGAGACTAGAAGGGAACTTCCTCAACCTAATAGAGCATCGACAAAAAGACTCACAGCTAACATCATCCTTAATGATGAAAGACCGAACACTTTCCCCCTAAGATCAAGAAGAATACAAGGATGTCTACTCGGCACTTCTATCCTACATAGTACTGGATGTTTTAGACAGAGAAATTAGGCAAGAAAAAAATAAAGAGCATCCAAATTGGAAAGGTAGAAACAAAACTATCTCTGTTTGCAGATCATATGATCTTAGAATATGGAAATTACTAAGGAATCTGCAAAAAGAGAAAAAAAACAAAAACAACTACTTGAGCAAGTAACTAGTTTAGCAAGTTTCCAGATAAAATGTCGATATATAAAAGTCTATTATATTTCTATACAATTGCAATGAACACTCTGCATAGTGACCCTATAGGACAGAGTAGAACTGCTCCACAGGATTTGAACTGCCACCCTTTGGGCTAGCCGCTGAGCTCTTAACCACTATATCACCAGTGCTCCAATGAAATAAAGAGAACTTCATTTATAACAGTATCAAAAAAGAACAAAATAGTTAGGAATAAATTAAACAAAATGAATGCAAGACTTACACACTGAAAACCACAACTACCATTGACGGAAATTGAAGACCTAAATAAACAGACATCCATGTTCATGAAAGACTTAATATTGTTAAAAATGGCAGTACTCCCCAAATTCATCTTCAGATTCAACATATTCCCTATCAAATCCCCAGCTGCCATTTTTGCAGAATTTGAAAAGTTTATTGTAATTCATATAGAATCGCAAGAGACTCTAAAAAGCCAAAATAATCTTGAAAAAGAAGAACAAAATTGTAGGACTCACATTTCCCATTTTTAAAACCTACAATAAATCAAGAGTAATCCAAAGAGTATGGTACTGGCATAGGGATAGATACACAGATAAATGAAACAGAACTGAGAGCCAGAAATAAACCCATATCTCTACGGTCAATTGATTTTCAACAAGGGTGCCAAGTCCATTTCAGTGGGGGAAGAATAGACTCCTCAACAAATGGTGCTGCAACAACTGGATACCCACATGCAAAAGAATGAAGTTCTACTCCAGCCTCACACCATATATAAAAATTAACTCAAAATTGATCAAAGACATAAATATAAGTTAAAACTGTTAAAACTCTTAGAATAAAACATAGGTATAAATATTTGTAACCACTGATTAGGCAACCGTCATTAGGGAAATGCAAGTCAAAACCACACTGAGATAACATTTTACTCCCAGTGGTTAAAAGCTCGGCTGCTAACCAAAAGGTCAGCAGTTCGAATCCACCAGCTTCTCCTTGGAAATCCCATGGGGCAGTTCTACTCTGTCCTGTAGGGGCGCTATAAGTCAGAATTGACTCAGTGGCAATGGATTTGTTTTCTTTTTTTTTTAGAATGGCTATGAAGGAGGCCTGGTGGCACAATGGTTAAGTGCTCAACTGCTCCATGGGAGAAAAGATTTGGCGATCTGCTCCCATAAAGATTACAGCCTGGTAAATCCTATGGAGCAGTTCTACTCTGTCACATAGGGTAGCTATGATTCAGAATCGACTTGACAGCACTCAACAATAACAACAACAGGACGGCTATAATCAAAAAGACAGTCAATGACAAGTATTGGCAAAGTTATGTACAAGTATTGGCAAAGTTGTGGAGAAATTGGAACACTTATACATTGCTGGTGGCAAAGTAAAATATTGTGGCCACTTTGGAACATACATTGGCAGTTTCTCAAAAAGTTAAACATACAGTTACTACATAACTCAGCAATTCCTTCCTAGAAACACCCAAGAGAATTGAAAGCATATGCTCCCACAAAAACTTACACACAAATGTTCCACAAATGTTCTTAACAGCATTATTCAAAATTGCCAAAAAGTGGAAGTAACCTTAAATATCCATCAATTGATGAATGGATAAACAAATGTGGTTGTGTTCATACAATGTAAAAATATTCAGCCATAGAAAGGAATGAAGTACTGCTACACACCACAACATGGATGAATCTTGAAAACATCATTGTAAGTGATACAAGCCAGACACAAAAGGCTACATATTATATGATTACATTTATATGAAATGTCTAATATAGGCAAAAAAATGGATTAGAACCCTTTCAGGACCCAATTATTTTCTTCTTTGAATTTTCTGATGATACTATGTGTTTTCACTAATGAAGGCATGATGATTAAAGGACCAAATCAGAATTTTCTTTATGAGTTACAGATTTTGATACCCATTACCTGGGATCACATGTGTCCCAGTGTAAAGTTGATGAGGTAAATTCTGCCAATGAGTCAATGATAAAATCAAGGTTTTTTAATTTTTTAATTTTATTTCTTGAAAATTTGCAAAACATGAGGTAAAACATGAAGGCACCAAGAAACAACTGCACATGCCTTTTATTCTAGTCTCTTCCTTCTTAGCCTTTTTATTATTTTTCATGTAACTTTTCAAAACATGGTATAATGCATTCTTCCTTACTGCCACAGCAGTACTCACAGCCCAAATAAAGCTAAGAGATTTTTTCTCTCAGGAGAATTACCACTACAATGCATTCTTCATTACTGCAAAAGCAGTACTTACAGCCCAAATAAATAAAACTAAAGGAAATTGACTCTCAAGAAAATCACCACCATTATGTATTCTTCATTATAACAAAAGCAGTACTAACAGCTAAGAAGCAGAAACAGCTGCCCTGGAATACTGCAGGACTGCTCACTGCGGTGGATTCTACCTGCTATACGTGGAAGCAATGATTGGGCCCTGGATTGAATGCAAGGTAAGAATAACTTACAGGAGTTCCAACCTCTTGAAAAATACCGCTGCAATGCATTATTCCTTATTGGACAGGCATTTTTTACTGTTCAGAAGCTAGAAAAACAGGGAACCAGTAACACCTAGAAACAATAAATGGCATAAAGGAGAAAATGACCACTATTGGAAAGCCTGGTGGCACAAGCAGCTAAGAGTTCGGTTGCTAACCAAAAGGTTGGCACTTTGAATCCACCAGGCGCTCCTTGGAAATGCTATGGAGCAGTTCTACTCCGTCCTATAGAGTTGCTATGAGTCGGAATCAACTTGACGGCAACAGGTTTGTTTTTTTTTTTTACAGGTATGGCTGAATGAAGACTGGCAATAGCTTATTCTCGCAATAAGTGCATCCTCACAAGAACATAGTAGTTGGGAAATATAGGGAGGAGGCTTATCTCACAGAAATAAAGGTGAACCTGTCAAAAGTTTAGAAAATGCACATATCCAGAAGGCATCACCTAAGACAATGCTCAATCTACACAAAAATGAGGCTCCCACTCAGGATTTTTGAGTTTCACACATTTCAAAAGGCTCCCACCTTGAGGCTAATCATGTTAAAATTGGGCTACCCCCTTTCCAAAGAATTCCTAAGGCATAAAAAGTGGGTGGGAAACAGTATGTCCCACAGGTCTTCAAAAGGGTTAGTGGTTGCCAGCAGCTGAAGGGAGAGGGCAATGGGGAGTTTGTGCTTAATGGACATGAGGTTTCTTCATTGAAAATTTTCTGGAATTAGATGGTAGTAAGATTGTATGGAGTCTCTGGGTGGTGCAAACAGTCAATGTGTGCGGCTGCTAACCAAAAGGTTGGAGGTTCAAGTCCATCCAGAGGCATCTCGGAAGAAAGGCCTGATGATCTACTTCCAAAAAATCACCCACTGAAAACTCTCCAGAGCACAGTTCTACTCTGATACACATGGGGTCACCATGAGTTGGAATCAACTTGATAACAACTGGTTTTCATTAATGCACAACTTTGTGAATATACTAAAAATTACTGAGTGGCACACTTTAAGAGGAGATCCTTTAAGGAATGTGTAGTATACGTCAATAAAAACATGCAAAAAATAAAGTTGTGGTTGCTATGCCTCATGTAACTACCGCAAAATCTTTAGTAATCTAAAATCTTCATAATGCACAGATCTCATTGAAATAAGTTTACCATATATGAACTGCATACATTTAATATTATTATATTGTATAGTAACAAGCAAAAATATCATAGGCAACATTAACCAGATAAATTTTTAGAAATAACTATTCTTTGAACACTTTAAGCAGTTACACTAAACAGATTTAGACCGGGATGAATCTAACTATATAGAAACAATCTTAATCCATTCCTACAGAATGAAAAGGGCCTTCCTGTAGAATAAAAGAGATAACTAGAGAAAATTTAGCCTTTGGGGCAAAACTGATAAAATATCATTAAACAAATGGTAATTGCTCTCTTAAAATTACAGAAAATTTACTTATAAATACCTGGAAAATTTGTTGATCCCACTATTTTCACCAAATCTTGGGACAAATGAAATCCTCTTGGTAATCGAATCAAATATCCAGCTGTCAAAAACAAACAGAAAAGAAGACAATGATCAACAATTTGTAGAAATTCCAAGAGATTAAAATAGTACAGTATAATAACTATTTGATCTCAGTTGACAGGGAGGGCCATAAATCAATCTCCTGACATCTGATATTTCTGCTACAATTCTACTCCCCTTCATTTGTTCCAATGTAATAAATTCACCTACTGCTTCTCATATTCTCCCTACTTTATCTCACTTTTGGCTTTTTCTACATCCACATAAAATAGATCCTTCATTTTTAAAAGTTCAAATTCCACATCCTTCAATAACCAAATCACGAGGTCCTTCTCCATCAAACCTCCTGTTTGTCCCTTTCATTTATTACCTCTATATTACATCATGAAGCCCTGGTGGCGCAGTGGTTAAGAGCTCGGCTGCTAACCATAAATGTTGGTAGTTCGAATCCACCAAATGCTCCTTGAAAACCCCATGGGGCACTTCTACTCTGTCCTATAGGGCTGTTAAGGGTTGGAATTGACTCGACGGCAATGGGTTTGGTTTTTGTGACCTCTCTTACGATACTCATTCTACACTGTAGTATAATTATTTATACACATATATCATTTTCCTTATTAGATAATAAACTTCATTTATAGCAGGCCCAGGGTTTTTGTCAATTTATCAAGAATCAGAACAAGCATAACACCTTGCTTAAGTTGTTGTTGTTAGGTGCCATTGAGTCAGTTCCCATTCATAGCGACCCTATGTACAACAGAACAAAACACCACCCAGTCTTGCGACATCCTCTCAATCGTTACTATGTTTGAGCCCATTGTTGCAGCCGCTGTGTCAATCCATCTCATCCAGGATCTTCCTCTTTTTCACTAACCATGTACCTTACCAAGCGTGATGTCTTTCTCCATATAGTAAATATTAAGTGTTGTTGTGCTGTTGGTAGGTGCCTTTGAGTCAATTTTGACTCATAGCAACCATGAGGTTTTCAGGCTGTCATCTTTGTGTGAGCAGATTGCCAGGCCTTTCTCCGAGGAGCTGTTGGATGGGTTTGAACCACCAACCTTTCAGTTAGTAGTCAAGTGCTTCACCAGTGCACACAAGGACTTCTTAAATATTAAATAGTAATTGTTAAATAAAGTATATTACGATACCCTTCAGTCATTATTGAATGAACAAACACGATGGACCTAACACTGTAGTGTGCACAGAACAAATGGGATATGCAGTATAAAATATGCAATAAAGCATTATACTCAAATAACCTTTAACAGAGAGGTAGTAAAGTGTTTCAAAAGTATGAGATTCAAAGTCAAAAGACCAGAGTTTAAGTTCTAATTCTGCCACTTACTGATCTAGGGAAAGTCACTTGTAACTCTAGAAGCTTCAGTTTCCCCATGTGTATAATGGGACTAATAATAATTCCAGCCTTAAAGAGTTTTTATAAGGACTGTATGAATATTGTACAAACTGTAAAATGCTATACAGATATCAGGTCTTTAATATTCACAGATTACATATTTATTATACCCTTGTTATGGATTGAACTGTGTCCCCCCAAAACATGTTGTAAATCCTAACTTCTATGCCTGTTATGTAGAGGGTCAGCAAGATGGATTGACACAGTGGCTGCAACAACGGGCTCAAGCATAACAACGATCACGGAGAAAAATTGGGCAGTGCTTCCTTCTGTTGTACATAGGGCGGCTATGAGTGGGAGCCATGCCTGTTATAATCCCATTTGGGAATGGGTTGTCTTTGTTATGTTAATTAATAGGATTAGTGTAGGGTGTATCTCAAATCAATCTTTTTTGAGATATAAAAGAGATTAAACAAGCAAGCTAGAGAAGCAGAGATAGGGGAAGATCGCCCAGGAGTAGAAACTCAGAAGAGATAAGGACCTTCCCCTAGAGTCAAGAGAGAGAGAAAGCCTTCCCCTAGAGCTGGTACCCTAAATCCAGACTTCTAGCCTCCTAAACTGTGAGAAATAATTTTTTTTCATTAAAGCCATCCACTTGTGGTATTTCTGTTACAACACTAGATAACCAAGATAACCCCCAAGTGTCTGATATTGTTATTTTATCAAAGGATAGCCAGGTGTAATTTAAAAAAGAAAACACACTCTGCAGTACCTGGGACAAGATCATGAACCATGTTCAAGAAGCATCCTGCTCCTACAGTGCAATTAAATGGGCATCATTGGCTATCTTAGTACTTACAGTAGATGAATGGCCTTTGGATCCTTGATACCTGGACTTTGGCATATCTTGTAATAGCTAATCACTCCACTTCTCTCCTTTCTCCTCTGTGTGCCATTTCTATACCCCTCAGCCCTTTTATACTTACACTCTTGAGGACTTCTTTTCTCATTCCCCATTATTTGAACAATTTTTAGCACTTTAAGCAAATCTCTTTTGAGCTTTTTATTTACCAATTCTAGGAGATGTTTTACTTTTAAAGAGTCTAAAATCTGAACACAAAATAATGCAGCCAAAGCCTTTCCAGTTAAATAACAGTTCAATTAAACTCTAACTTCTTTCTTTGGTGTGTGTTCATCAGTATCTTAAATATATTTTGGAAATAAGACAGAAAAGTATTTCAGTTCTCTGGATACAAAGAAGGAAACAAATGGTGTTAGCAACATTATCAAAATTTTAAAATCCCAGCATTTCCTGCAGCTTACAGCTAAAACCAATAGATGGAGCTCCACTATCACTGATAACGTAAAAGCAGCATGCTAACTAAACCCATAGCGGTCCGTTGGATTCCGACTCACAGTCACCCTATAGGGCAGAGAAAAACTGCCCCATAGGGTTTCCAAGGAGCGGCTGGTAGATTCGAACTGCCCGTCTTTTGGTTAGCAGCCGAGCTCTTAACCACTACGCCACCAGGGCTCGAGCACGATAACTACTAATTTTAAAATAGATTGAAACATTAGGCACAATATATTATTCCATCAACTATACATAAGAAGAAACCAACAAAGTTAACACACTGAAATGTAAAGATGGAAATGGTCCATGAAATGAATTAGGGAGTTAACAGTCAATTCAACTTTAAAGCTTCAACCACAGATGCTTTAACAATCTCTTCTATGTATATATTAATTTTCCTTGGCATTTATTTCTGTATGTAAATGTAGAGTTCCTTTGTTTGCCTTCTGTATAAAAATAAACCTCTCTTCTTAGGTATTAGTGAGTATAGTCACCTGACAGAGGAAAAATTTCTCTGAAGCCGTGATCCCCAAAGTGTGGTCCCAGGCCTGCAGCATCAGCATCTCCCGGGAATTTGTAAGAAATCTAATTCCGCGGCCAATTCCAGAGCCACGGAGTATGAAATTCTTGGGTGAGGCCCAGCCATCAAGGTTTTAAGAAGTTCGCCGGGTGATTTTAAAGCCAGCTCAGGTGTGAGAACCTTTGCTCTAGTCTAGAAGATGCTTGGGACGAATATACTTTTCTGGTTCCACACAGAAAGGTTTTGGTAAACGTGATCACACATATTTATGCTAAATCTTAAAGAAGCGTTCACAAGTGCAGACATGGGGTTGAGAGCATCTATGACCCCAATGAGCACCGCACCGATGCATAGAATGTTTCAGGTTGTTCTATAAGACTCAGTATTGGATACACACGTGCTGAACAAAGTGGGAGGAAATGGGAGGGAAAGCATTAGTTTTTTTTGTTGTTGTTTGTTGTTTTGTGGGGGGACGAGTCGTGGTGATAAAAAAAATATCCATACGTGATATTTAAATGTTATCAAGAAAACCCATCCTATAATTTGAACATGAAAACGGGTTGTTTCCGACTTGCAGCTCCCAGGCTGCCCCACGCCTGCATAGATGTCTCTAAAAACTGGGGACGAAACTGGACTCCGGAAACCAGCCCAGGCGACCCCTCAGGGCCGCCGCCCGGCGCGGAGCCGCCGCCTCACCTGATGGGGGCGCATACACAAGGAGGGCGGAGAGGAAGAGGAGGACAGCGGGACGGGAGAGCCTGGAGCCCGCATCCCGGGCCCGCCTCCTGCCCCGCCGCGCCTGGCCCGGGGCCGAGGCCTCCATCCGCACGCCGCCGCCTGACGACCGTCGGCGCAGACGATCGTTAGGCTATTCGGGCCCACCGGTCCTGCGCTGCACGCGCCAGCGGGAGTTGGCGGGCCACGGCGGGCCGGAAGGACGAGCCGCCACTTCCGCCGCAGACGGAGTCGGGATCTGTGGCAGCGGAGCTAGTGTGGCGGGGCTGGAAAGGCCCAAGGGTCTTCGCTGGCAAGTGGGTGTGGTCCAGGACTCCTGCGGAAGATTGCCGAGAGGGAGCCGAACGTCAACTGCGCCTGGCGTTGGGCCTCAGGACATCACCGCCAATCAGGGAACTTTGGAGAGGATACGCGCGACTTGTTGAAGATTCTGAAACTGGGAGAAGAATCATGGGCCCCAATGCCCACGCTTTTACCGTTCTGTGCGCATTCGTGAACACAGAGAATACCCTTTTTATAAACTAAGGTGGTAGACTAGGAGTCGCAGTATTCGTGAGCCAACTGTGAACAGAGTCGAGAGTAAGAATTGAGAGCCCTGGTGGTACAGTGGTTAAAGATTCGGCTGCTGACCAAAACGTTGGCACTTCGAATCCACCAGCTGATCCTTGGAAACCATACGAGGCAGTTCTCCTTAGTCCTATACGGTGGCTATGAGTCAGAATCGACTCCACCGCAACGGTACGGGTACAGCCCTTAGAGAATCACCTGGAACTAGTAATTTCAGCTGTTCCTATTTTATCGATCTGTGGAACTTAGTTGGGAGATGAATGGAATGCACACATATTGGGAGTGAAAGATGAGGCTTGCTGGTAAAAACCCAGATGAAACTGACTTTGCAACACGCAGCCTGGAAGATAAACATAAAACAAAAGTCCTCACAGCTGAACCAATAAACGGCATTATGATAAACAGAGAAAAGATTGAAATTGTCAAAGATTTCATTTTACTTGGATCCGCAGTCAACACCCATGGAAGCAGCAGTCAAGAAATCAAGCCACGCGTTGCACTGGGCAAACCTGCTGCAAAAGCTCTCCTTAAAGTGTTTAAAAGCAAAGACATCAGCTTGAAGTCTAAGGTGCGCCTTACACTAAGCCAGGGTGTTTTCAGTTGCTTCATATGCATGTGAAATATGGACGATGAATAAGGAAGAAGAAAGAATAATCGATGCCTTTGAATTGTGGTGTTGAGGAAAAATATTGAACATACCATGGACTGCCAAAAGAACGGACAAATTTGTCTTGAAGAAGCCTGACCAGAATGCTCCTTAGAAGCAAGGATGGTGTGACTACGTCTCATGTACTCCGGACATGTTATCAGGAGGGATCAGTCCCTGGAGGACATCATGCTTGGTAAAGTAGAGGGTCAGCAAAAAAGAGGAAGACCCTCAACAAGATGGATTGACACAGTGGCTGCCACAATGGCCTTAAGCATAACAACAATTGCGAGGATGGTGCAGGACCGGCAGTGTTTCGTTCTGTTGAACATAACGTCACTGTGAGTCAGAATAGACTCTATGGCACCTAGCAACAACTAACAACAAGGTCAGAAAAAATGTATTAAACCACGTATCAGCCCAAAAGGTCATTATAGCTAGACCATGTTTCAGAGAGCTTGAAAGAAAATCATGTCTCTTGTTATGTTCTGCAACTAGAAGGCTTTAGTTAATGGGAACAGAGCTACAAGGGAAATTTTAAGCACTTGGTGCAAATACGTGTAAGAATGAAGTTTGAGCAACTAGAGACAGTGCCTAATAATAATGTGCATATTTTTTGAGTTTGCTGGATATATTTATGCATGTGTTATTGTTTGATAAACTGTATTGAGTACAGTTTATTCCACTGAGTAGATTAATCTCTCAAGGAATTTCTTTCTAGTCATGGGTTAAATTTAGACAGTCCAAGCATGTTTTCCTAAAGAGAGACCTGAATAATTTGCATCCCGCCAGCATTTTGGTCAAGATCCTGCAGTTGCTTTGAGCAAATCATACACACATTTACGTTGTTAAATTACAACCAGTCCCTGGTTTTGTCTAGGTATGTTTCCTGAAATGAGTTTTAAAACCTCATTGTTGTTACTCGGGACATCACAGTAGAGTTCAGGGGAATTATGGATAATTTAGCACATGTAAAAGAGGTACTTTGACTATAAATTGCTAATCATTTCCCTTAAAAATTAGATATACCTTTAACCAGAAGTGAATTGCCAAGACTATCTTCTGAGGTGCCTCTCGGTGGGTTCGAAGCACCAATCTTTCAGCTAGTAGCTGAGTATTTAACCGTTTGTGCCACCCAGAAGATCTAAACCTGCTGCCGTCGAGTTGGTTCCGACTCATACCGACCCTACACAACAGAGTAGAACTGCCCCATAGAGTTTCCAAGGAGCAGCTGGTGGATTTGAGCTGCCAGCCTTTTGGTTAGCAGGCGAGATCATATTCACTATGCCACCTAGGGGACTCCTAATTTAATGATAGGATAATATATATTCATTTTTGCAGTGAATTTAAATTTACCTTTATTTAAGTAGCAAGTGTTATAATTTATACATCTCTTTAGATAAATGCTTAATTGTGTTCACGTATATACCACTGAAAATATATTGTCACTGGATTAACTGCTTTATCTATACTGCTTACTGATTATTTCACCCATAAAATGTTAAAACCAAAAACCAAACCCATTGTCATAGAGTCAGTTCCAACTCATAGTAACTCCATGTGTTTCAGACTAAAACTATTCTCCACTGGGTTTTCAATGGCTGTGATCTTTTGGAAGTAGATTGCCAGGACTTTCTTCTAAGGCTGATTCAAACCGCCAACCTTTTGGTAAGTAGCCAAGTGAGAACCATTTGTGCCATCTAGGAACTCCCATAAAATATTAACTTATGGAAAAATTAAAAAATAAATAATAAATGAACACAGCTTACCCGAGCGTTGAGGAAGAAGTTACCATGGAAATACTACTACCAAGATTTTTTTGTTTTTCCTAAGAAATTATGATGTATGGAATAAATGGTTCAGTATGTTAAAGTTCTAACTGTTGCCAAGCAACAAAGACTCTTGCCTTTTTTTTTTTTCAGTCTTATTCCTTTAGTGCGCTATTCTTCCTTTCATGGATAAAAAATATTTTTCTGAAAAAGAAAAGGAAAACCTACTCTACAGACATTTAGAAGCTTATATCAGTCACTTTATGCTCGATTAGCCCTAATCTTAGAAATTATTGGAAATACTAGATTTTACAGTTAAAGGGAAAAGAGTTATCAGAAGCTCTTAATTTACAATCATTGAAAGCTTATAAAGATAAAAGGCCACAGATATGGATTCACAGTATACACCTGGACAGATAAGTATCCCTAAAGAGTCCATCCTTTCAGCAACAAAGGGTGTTAATAAAATGGATTATCCACATTACTGTGGTCTCTTAAGAAGAATGAACATGCCTTTTGTGGCAGGAATTGAGGACAGACACGACTATGGCAGATTTGAAAAGAAATGCAATCCTACTTTTCTTAAATTTCACCCTTATCCCCCTTCAGTCCTGCCAGACTATCATCTCCACTATCCTTATCCCCCACCATATGGTCCAGATTATCCATTATTTCCACTTCGGGATGATGTGCCCTTAGGTGATCCCTGTTCACAGTTTTTGAGTCCTGGTGCTGATGCTGATTTAAAACCTGGCGTCGGCAGAACCATACCAAACCTGGTGGATTTTAGTGATGTGAAACCTCAACAACGAGTTCCGAGACCAGACTCAGGATTTAATACGACAATAAAAAGACAAAAAATTCTATTAGAAGAACTACAACAGGACAAGAGGTGGAATTCCAGAGCAGTTGCAGACATTTCCATCAGGGCAAGACTTGGAGGTAAGTAAAGTGTCATGGACTTTATTTTCTTTACACATTCATACGAGGGAAAAAAGTATGGATATAAGATTCAGTGTTTTAGTAGTTAATGTGAACATAAAATTGTAAGGAACTAAAAAAGGAATTAGTATTTTAAATTGAAGCTTGCAAGAAAAAATAGGATGGTAAGTATTTATAAATCTATTGATAAAGCAATATTTGGTTACAAAATGTGCATTCATTAGTTTCAGTGACCAACGCAAAGTTATTTATCAGATCGTTTATTGTAGACATATGAATAGCCTAATTTTACTACAAAAGAATTTATATATCACTTTGTTAATTGTGAATCCTGCCTCTTTACCTATATCTCTCCTTCCAAAAAAGAAATCTGCTGATGGTTATGAAAGAGGTAGTTTGCAGGAGCTGAAAGAGAAAGTATACAAAAGTATATTTTTGAGTCTGGAGCCGCTGGGTGGTGCAAATGGTTTGCACTGGGCTACTAACCCAAAGATTGGCAGTTGGAATCCACCCAGTGACACCGTGGAAGTCCACCCAGGACTTGCACCACCAAGTGGCTAGAAAAAACAAGACTGAGCCTTAAATTCAGATTTACTGTCCCCAAGTTCATTGGTCATGATATGGCCTCAGCAACCATTGCTGTTTATGGGGCTCCCATCAAGCTGTATATGGCAGAAAATTTCAGGATTAAGAAGATGCTTGCCAGTTTTCTGACGTTCATCTATCAGTTAGAAGTTGCAGCATCATTCTCCCTTCATAGAGATAGTATGTTTAAATAGTGCCAGGATTGAAAAAGGAGTTACCCCGTTTCATTCTCACGTAAAAATATTTTTGTTAATTGAATAGATCATTGACCTCTTTGACTAGTGATATGATATAAAGTAGGGAATTGGGAAGAGGCCTCCTAAGAGTAGACAGCAGAGGAAATGATCTATATGTGCCATCAATGCTGACAAAAATCTCCCTAGAAATGTTATAATTGAGTTCATGGTCTGGTGACTAAAAAATTAATTGTGATGAAAATAACTAAAAATTAAAATTTTTTCCAAAATATCCATTTCTATTGGTATATATCTCTTTTGTCACTGCAGTATCAGATAACCCAGATTAGAGAATCGTTTGTCTTTAATCTCTTTCCTATGGGGTCTTACATACCAGGAATTGTTCAATTTTAAATCAAAACATATGATGCTACCTAGTCCCTTATAATCAGTGAGATGAAGTAAAAATTCTTAGACTAAAGGATCCTTGTCACCTGCTGGCTGAATGGTATTGGAAAAGTTACTTAACACATTTGAGCATGAATTTACTCATCTATAAAATGAGGGCCTGTGAATTAGATAGTATCCTAATGCTCTTTCCCATTCTAAACTTCTATAATTCTGTGATCATAAAAGACTGCAGTCAATGAAAAATATTTACAGATTGCAGTATGTGCTACATTTTATTTCAAGGCTATAATACAGGCAATACTTGCTTTGAGATATTTCCCAAATAATTTATTCCTCAATTATACTCCTTAGGGAAGATAAGAGAACTATATTTTACCCACACTGACATGAATACAGCTCAGTCCTAAGAATGGGAGCTAGTGAAAGTTAAATCCCATCCTGTTTGAACCGGAAAGTATTCTGGAAATACAGGCAGTCCTTGGGTTACAAATGAGATCTGTTCCTAAATGTGTCTTTAAGTTGAATTTGTAGGTAAGTTGGAACAGGTGCATACAGTTCTTATTTAGCCTTAGTTTCGTGCAAGAAGAGGCTCGAAGGCTTTTCAATGATTTAAAAGCTGCACGTGCAGCAAGCGAAGGTGATTGTGATGAAGAATTTGTTGTGAGTAGGGGTTGGTTCAGTTGTTTCAAAGTGAGGGCAAATTTAGATAATATTGAAAGACAAGTACCATAATGCTCTTATCCCAGTCTACAAATACATAAGAAGTTCTTGCACCTGTCCATGAAATAAAGTTAGAATATGATTGAAGGTGAGTCAACATGGTAGATTAAGAAGCCACAGTAGGGCTTACTCCATCCCAACTACAAATATATAGAAGATATGTGTATACATACACACACACACACACACATATAAATGTATACGTATCTTCTATAGTGTATATATGTTAACTGAAAGGTCGGCGGTTCGAATCCACCAGCCACTCTGTGGGAGAAAGATGTAGCAGTTTGCTTGCATAAAGATTTACAGCCTTGAAAGCCCTATGGGACAGCCCTACCCTGTCCTATAGGATCACTATGAGTCAGAATCGACTTGGGTAGGATAAATATATATATAGGTTAGTTTGAAAGGAAGGAAAACCCCCAGATGCCAGGGTTAAAAAAAAAAATCCAGCTAGAGGATAAACCAGAACAAATCATAGCTACCCCACAAAAAAAATCAGAAACAGATACAAACCTTGAATGGAAGAGAACAGATGTGCAGCTGGCCTACAGAGTAATCAGTCCAAATGGGAACAGAAAGACAGTTAGTTTCAGGAGTGATATCTCTAAGAATAAAATAAAATGGATAGGTAACTTGATGAGTTATAAACATTCTCTGAGGAGATTTATATTTCTGATGAAGACTAGATGATGAATTATTGACAGGAATTGGAAAGCTAATAGAGGAAACATTTAACTCTGAAGACAAGAATAGGCTGTTCATGTAAGACAGAAATTCAAGAACATTACATGGTGTAGCTGAAAACAGTAGTGTCACAGTGATCATAAAATAAAACTTGTAATGTCTTTTACCTTAAAGTTTTAATATAATTATTTTGTAAAAGTAGGGCAGATAAAGTAGGAAGGGAGAGAAATATGCATATTAAAACAAAGTGGTTCTCAGATTAGGTAAAAGAAGGAAATCCAGCAATTGGATGTTTCAAAGAGAAACAACTGCAACAAAATATACAATTGCAAAGAAAAGAATGGGAGAAGATACACCAGGCAAATATTAGCAGAAAGAAAGCTGGTGTGAGATAAAATATACTTTGTGACATAAAACATTATTAGAAATAAACAGGATAATTATTATAGAAAAAGAGAGGAAAATAACTGGGAAAATGTCAACTACCTGGAACCTCCACCTAGCTAACAGAGTAGCTGAAAATAATTGAAGCAAAAACTGTCTGAATCTAGAGAAATCTGTATGTTCTGAGAAGAAAATGGTTAACAGCAGGCCTATAATCCATTATTTTCCTTTACTAGGGGGATCCCCTTAGAAAGAAAGAATTAAAGTGACTTGGTCATACCTATAAACATGCTAGTGACAGAACTTCTGGAAAGCAAATTAATGGTATTCATTAGGGAAAGACTCTTCCTATGAAATGATTTTAACAAGCTATACCTGGTCTGTCCAGGATTGCCTATAGTAAACCTGGAATCTGTGGATTTATAGGGCACTGTTTATTTAAAATGCCATATAATTATATTAACTATTGGAATATAAAATGGGGATATTTTATGAGCAAAACAACTAATATTAACTAATGTACCTGCCTACATTACAAAGAGATTTTATATGTTCATCTGGCCAGAACAAGTCTTGATGAAAAAAGAAGTTTCCTGGTTCACCTGTGTCTCATGATTACTTATAGCCTTGAAATTATTAGTCAAGTTTGATACTGGATAAGATAACTAATTCTGTGGAGTCTTATTTGACAATCCAATCTTTTACTATATCTCAAGTCCAAAAATTATCATGCAGCATTTGAAGACATGCCTTTCAGGAGTTATTTGAACACAAAAATGGTCATACAAATATACAGGATTTGAACATTATTAAAATATGAGCTTGAACTCATAAGCATATTTAGAACTCTGTATTCCAAAATATAAAATACACATTATTTTGAAGTATCCATGGATTATTTATAAACTGTATCACAAAATATACATAGGAACAAATAAGGTAGACTTATTTTATACAAATCAGATCATTGTGGAATAAAATTAGAAACCAATAACAAAAAAAATTACACATAAAACCACTTTTAATAATTCATGGATCAAAGAGAAAATCATAATGAAAATTACCAATTATTTAAAACTAAAGGTTAATGGAAACTTCATATATCAAATTTTGAGGGATATAGATAAAGCAGTACTTAGTAGGAAATTTATAATCTTATATATAAAGTAAAAATGAGGAAAAATTAAAAATCAGTGAGCTAATTATTTAAGAAATTTGGGAATGTAAAGCAAAGTAAACCCCAAAAATAGAAGAAAGGAAATATTAAATAAAACAAACTAATGAGCGAGGAAAAAAGAAGAAGAAACAACAGGAATTATCAACAAATTCAAAAGATGATTTTTTTTAAAGTTTAGTAAAAATAAATCTCAGCCAATATTAATCAAGAATAAAAAGAGAAGAAAGAAGCAATATTAAAAATTGTGGTAGGTTATGGCCAGGCTTGCTGCACAGATATCTTTAGTGATTAGATGGCACAACTTGGAATAGTACTTGAATACTTAATTGTGGTTTAGCAAGATTTTATGAACTTGGAAACTGTGATCCAGGTGATGGAGTTCACATAGCTCCACGAACTCCATATGTACTCTTAGTATAAAGTGAAATAAAGCCAGTAAGCCCATGTTTCTGGGCACTTACAGTGGTGGGTTCATCACTCTTCCTGAGCAGCTAAGACCAGTGAACTTATGTGAGAATGAGGAGTTAGAAGGAAGCCACTTGCATTTGTATTATCATGAATTAGCGATGGCTTGCAAACCCTAGTGGTGTAGTCGGTAAGAGTTTCACAGCTAACCAAGAGGTGGGCAGTTGAAATCCACCAGGCACTCCTTGGAAACCCTATGGGGCAGTTCTACTCTGTCCTATAGGGTAGCTATGAGTCAGAATTGACTCACCAGCAATGGGTTTAGTGATGGTTTGTGATTGCTTTGTTTGATATCTTAGTTAACTAGTGCTGCTGGAAATACCACCAATTGAGTGACTTTTGAAAACAAATTTATTTTTTCTAAGTATAGGAGGCTTGAGGATCCCTGGTGGTACAGTGGTTAAGAGTTTGGCTGCTAACCAAAAAGGTTGGCAGTTTGAATACACCTGCTGCTCCTTGGAAACCCAATGGAGTCAGTTCTGCTCTGT